TAGTAACACTCTAGAATTACTGATAGGTGAAACAACTTAGCCTTGACTAAGATCTGGGAGTAGGGACAGGAGGTAAAGGAACTCTCTGAATAACTCAACAATGATGCAGGAGTCTCAGGGGAAGGTTTAGAAAGTTGAAGGGAGGTACCAGATAAAATGATGTAAGCAGAACATGAATAATGTCAGAAAGGACTTATCAACTTGTGATTTGATTATGTGCAGTAGCAATACTCTAATCAATTGAATATTGCTAAATTATTTGGTCTGACTTATTAAACTGAAATGCCATTCAACTTTCCACCATAACCTAGAAGTAGCATGCTTCCATTTTTGCTATTGAGACAGGCCTTTATTGACATTCTTGTCTTGATTTTGTTCAGCTGTGTCTTTTAATCCTATGTGTTCAAATGTAAACCAAAGCTTTTAAGTAAATCAGTTATTACTGTCTTCTGCTTTTTGCTGCTTCCTTCCTTGCCTGTGTAGAGGTTTTTCTATTAAGATGCTGCTGCCTGAAATGAGTTACTTTAGCATAAGTTGCATTAGTAGGTATTATTTCAAGTTATTGTTTTTGTAATATCCACAGTCTTGCATAAAAACATGATTCACTGTTTTATGACAGTTACTTGTATACCTACTAGCTTATACTACAAATTGTAGATGAGGAGACCCAAGCAGATACTTAGAGATGATCAAAGTGATGTAAGTGCAAGGCAGCAGCTCTGAAACCTGTTCTGTAGCAAATGATTGAGTGCAGGTGGGCATGGGGTCTGTTTTGTAGCTGAGGAACAGGAAGCGGCCTGGCAATAGAGCAGTACAAACTGATTGTAGTGGAGGAGGTAACATAGCTTGAAACAAAGTATTGGCATATCTTTCATATAAACTACTAAAATGGTATATATGTTAAATTGTTTAGCTTGCTTAACACTAGGCCTATTGTAAAACCACTAATTTTGCAAGATGTCAAAATAGGGAGAATCTGCTTTACTGATAAAGACTGTGCTTTGCTTTAGTAATGAATGACAGAAGGTAATACCTGCCCAAGGACACAAATGACCTTGTAAATACCCTTAGAAAGCCTTTTAACCTTTTTGCACATAACTCAGACTACTGAGGCAACACTTCTTATGTTAAAGGAAGAGTAGATAATGAAGCTGCTAACAAGTGTTCTTTCAAACCTGCTGTCCAAAGTACATAGAAAACTTCTCACTGCACAGAATCAAGAAAAAGGTCAACTAATGGACGAGTGAGGAAGACTATGAAAGACCACCAGAGGACCCCTAAAGACCACTGAGACAGACAACTGTGCACACGAGATGGGCATTTATATATATTAATGATTTCCAGGAAATCTCATGTTTAAGTAAATTAGTTCACAGAAACTTCATGAATATGTATGACTGTGTAACATATAACCTTTACAATTTTGCAACTCTGGCGGAGCACTCATGGTGGAACAATCCCCAGTGCTGCTCAGTGCTGCAATAAAGAATATCTGCTTAATAGTCTCATTGGCTGTTAAGTTTCTTTGAATCAAGCTTGACGTATGGTTGCATTGAGGTCCTGCTTTCAAAAGGACTAGGGAGTAGGAAATAAGGTTGTCTTACATTGAAAGTTAGACTTCTCTTAATATGGATCAAGGGTTACTTTCGTTTTTCCTTTTCCCTTTTTTCCTTTGGTAATGACCTTAATAAATTCCTCTGTGTGCTGTTTGGCTGAAACCCAGGCTTTTTGTTTTCACCTGCTCTTAAAGCTTTTCAGCATCAGATGATAAATAGTTCTGCTATGAGAACAAGAAGTTTTGAATAACCACTGTCCTTTGTGAAGCTGAACGTGTATTCTCAGAGGCTTGGATTCCATCTCATTTACACTGTGACATAAAGCAAAACTACTTTGTAAATTTTCATAGCTAAGTTTATCTAGAATATTTGAAGATATTCTAATTGGTTTAAAGCTAATAAACAACAGTATAGTAGTGTCGCAATAAGATTGTGAATGACAGATTTGTCCTTTTCTCTAGGTGACAAGTAAAAGACAACAGAGTGTATAGTGCCTGCTGCAATGTTTTTCTAGGCCATCTTAGGCTTGATGTGGGGAAAAGGAAAGGAAGTACTTATTTTTTTTTCCCTTACCCAGGTACAAAATGGTACCAAACTGGAGGCATGCTTTTAATTTCAGTCAGATTGATAGCACTTGGGTAAGTCAGCTCAGCCAGAATCCTAAGTTGCAAGCTCAGCTACTAGTCTGAGTGTTGGTATTCTCTCAATCGTTGGTCAAGTGCTGGTTCGTAGACTAGAAATAAGGTGTCGATTGGTCTGTGTTCAGTTGAAGTACTAGGCAAATCTAGGTAAGAACACAAGGATCCCTTCTGTGAAAGGCCCGAGTCAACTGATGCTCAGAAATTGCGTAAATGTAGGTTGCCGTTAATTGTGAATCACTTATGGTTCAGTAGTCTTAATAGCACTATGGAAATACAGGATGAACTAAGGTAGAATGAAGGTGTTCAATGTTAGCCTTTTCAATTTCATATTTAATGGGACTGGAGTTGAGGTTAAATTGGGAAAAGGAGTGCTTTTTCAACTACTTACCTACTTCTATATGTTATGCATCACTTCAGAGGACAGACATATTCTAGAGGAGATATGGATACCTGTCTACCGGTCATAGTTGGCAGAAGGTAATGAAGTAATGCAAGCTTCAGACTCTTGGTCTTAATGGTTTTTAAATATGTATTTCCTGTACAGCTAATACCTGTGGGAGTTTGCTGTGGAAAGGTAAAATCTTAGTAAACTTAAGTATGTGGAAATGCGCAAGTTAATACTTACCTTGATATTAGTCTCTAAATGTACACCTAATAAGGCCTATGTAATTTGAGTTGTTTTATAAGCAATTTCTAATATTGAGTTTACAGATGGAAGCTTATCTTCAGAATTTAATGAACAATAGTAGCATCGTAACTCTGAATATCTTTAACAAGCAGTTGTAATAAAGATCTTAACCTTTTCAAGATGGCTGTGTGCCAAGCTTTAAGGTTAATAAAATAACTTGAGTATCTGTGAAACTCCCTTATTCATGTGGAAGACCATGCATTGTGTTCCTGCATACAGAGTTTGGAAGTAAGTCTGTTTGGGTTGTCTCAGGTCTAGCAATCAGAAAATGTTACTGTTTTGAGAAGTTCAGCATGCTTATTTGGTGACTTTCTGTGACTAGGGTTTTTCAGAAAATGCACTTAACCTGTTAGACCTGTAACTGAATGGGTTTGCTCTCTGGACTTGCTTTTGTGCACGGTACCCTAACCTCCCCCAAAGAAAAGATTGGTGATTTCCTGAACTACTCTGTATCCCAGAAAAAACAATAGGAGGTATTCTTGTTGAGGATAGCTTAGAGAACTCAGTCCCTGGCTCAAGTGCTGTATTTGGTAGGTGTAATAAAAACACTTTCTTGTATCTTGATTCTTATTTCTCTGGATCTGTTTGATTCAGACCATTCATAAAAAATAAATGAAATGAAGCCACTTTTGAAAGATGGTGGCTTCTTCCTCTAAAGACAAAAATGAGAAGGAAATGGGGAAAACAGAATGTACAGAATATTACTTTCAGTTCTCTAAACTTACTGCTAAGTTGCCTGAATTCTTCCTGTTTAAAAAAAACCTCAAACTTTTCATACTTTGACTATATTCATGGACTAAATCTTCTAGCTTGTTAAACTTTTGCAGATTTTAATCTAGCCCTTAAAACCTGAAAAATCTGAATGCATAAACCCAACTTTACTGCTGATATCTAAGTTTACCAGGAGTAAATGAAGTTTAGTGTTTCATATACAAACTTGGCTTAGCCAAGAAATTATGTTCTTTATTTTGTACATCAGGTAGTTCCATATTAGTGTGCGAAAGCTTACAAAAAAAGCCTGCTATTGCTGATTTAAAAAAAAAAAATAGCAGTATCTGATTTAAGTATAATGGCCCTTAAAAAATTTTACCTGTACTTATCTATGCTTATGACTTGCTGACTAAAAAACCACAACTGTTACACTTCTTTTTGGTTTCAAATTCTTGAATAGAGTGTACACTCCAAAGGAAGATTGTGGGGCAAATGACTTGCCTAGTGCAGCTAGAGGGGTGTGGAAACTCTTCTAGAACCCTCTTCAGAAGAGGCCCTTATTTCGTGGTTGTGATGTGGTTGTAGTAATCTCATCTTATTACAGTCCCTTATGGATAGATAGTGTTTTAGAATGATATTATTTAAATAGCACTTATCTAGATTTTCTTGAAACTCAAGTATTTTTCTACTACCTTAGGTATTCATAAGCTTTTTTCTAATCCATTCTCAAGTCTGCACATAACTTCCAAGTTAAATTTCTAGGTGACTTAAACCTTTGAGTCAAAATACTTTGTGTAGTTGATGATTTCTGTAACTTGAACCTTGAAAATTGCTTTGAAATACTCAATACTGATGAGTAACTGAGAGGACTTGCAAGCAGAAGCAAGAGAAAAATAGACCTGGTATTTGGGCTTTGTTACTTGAGTTTTACATCACTTGCTCAAAGTGATTTGATCACTGAGTGTTTCCAAGTAGCCCTACATAAGGAAGCTGTTGCTCAGGAAAGGTAAGATGTTCCTTAAGCTGTGCCCAGGTTGCCTCCTGTTGGAAGATGAGCACACAGGCGTAGAGGCCAGGGGAAGATCTAATTTCCCTTAAACTCAAATGCATGTATATTGTTAAGGTTTTCCACTTAATATAGTAAGTACAGGTTGTGCATTCTGCTAAATGCTGCGTTCATTTAATGTAACATCTCTCTGTTCTTAATGACACTTTTTTGACCTACGGGTAGGCTTCTATATTGCATTATAGCACGTGATGTACTTCAGCACTTGATTCTGAACTTAGTGTATCTGCCAGGTGAAGAGATGGTTCTCATCTTAGGTGATCAGCTTGTCACATGCTTGACATAAACCTTGTTTATCAGAGTAAACATTTTGTTAGCACTTCTCTCAAGTATTTACCAGAAAGCTACTGTTTCAAGTGTGTTTGAGCTCTGAGATGGTCCAAGATCATTAGTCCTTTATTGAAACTTAGACACTCTTCTTGTATCTGCTGCAAGTACTTTCAGTTAAATTGTAATAAATCTTTCCTTCTAGATTGTGTGGGGAGTATTCTTCATCATCGTGGCACTGCTCTTCACTGTCTCTCTGTTCTTGTCAAAGTAAGTATGTTTCAGCTTTTTCTTAACCACTTAAACTACAGTTTCTGCTCTTACATCAAAATCGGGTGATTTTCTTCAAGAGTCAAACCACTTCTTTTCTGTAACTAGAGCTGTTTCTCATTGCGATAGTATGTACTGAAACTGAACAAAATGTGCTAAAACAGTTTTAAAGGACATAGTTCAGTTTGATTGACAGTATGCTGCTGAGAACAGTTCTGATTCAGCAGAGAAATTAAGCATATATGTTAAGGAAGTTTAATTTTGAATACAGAAGTATTCTGATTGCTTGAACGAATTTTAATGCATGTAGATATTTCTTGGGCTGGGTAACAGGTGCTTAGATTCTTGTAGTAAATGACATGTATAATCCATTATGATGTGCATTACATTGTAATTGTTCCATGGTGTTGAAAGGAAGATAGCCAGCTGCAAATCTGGTGGATTTCAATGAAGATTGACACTAATCAGAAGTCTCAAATGTTGACATTTTTAATTTTTCAGACTGGGCAAATAAGCTCTATGACCCAAACTAGGGAAATGCTAAAATGCCAAGGAGATGTAGAAATCAATATACCTTTTCATAGTACAAGTGAAACGAGTGTGGTAAAACAAAGGTGCATGTCTATATAGATATGAAAAAGCTGTTAGTCTCTGGGCTTAGTTCAGCTTTTTTTTGAACTGCCCTTTTAAATTAAACTGAAGACAAAGCTCTGGGAGTACTTACCCACTTTTTCTTCATTATTGCAGTTTGGACAAAGCTCTGCATTCAGCTGGCTTTGACTCAGGATTCATAATTTTAGGAACTAATCTGACCAATCCATTGAATATGTTATTACCTGTTCTTCAAACAGTAAGTAAAAAAATTGGTGATATATATGTATGTAAGGATGTTCCTCTCTTTCTGATAACCTGTCAAAAGGCAAACTACCCTTCTCCCCAAGTAGCTTTTTAAAACAAAATTGTCTAGATGTATGTTCTGGGAAAGCAAGGCAACTTCCTTATTAACAATCTTTTCATTATTAGATACTGATATGAAAATCTTGGGTGGATGGAAGCCAATTGCCAGAGGAAGGTGGTGCTTGAAATTAATTTTCTTTTGAGAACAGTGGTAATGAAGAGTGACATCATTTGTAGTTATGCACAGAATAAAAGCCACTTTCTCTCATGCCCTAGCTACATTGTAGTTGTTTGTATACTTGATAGCTTATCCCCCTTAAGTGAAATAAATGCACTTTTTCACTTTTTAATATATTTGTTGCACCTTGAAGATATGTTACACTCCGTGCAGTTGTGTATGTTATAGTAATGTGGTAGTCTTTGTTCTTATGTAGGGCTTGTTCAAGCATTTGTTAATTTCATTAGAGTTTGAAGACAATAAGGTCACATACAAATTTGGCAATCAGTCATGGGTAAGCTAAGAAAAAGAAAAGCCTTAATGTAAGCTAGCGCTTTACTCTCCCCTAGCTGAGTTCTTTCTGTATTCTTGGTATAATGGGTTGGCACAATGCATTGCTTCCCCGTGGTTTCTAAAACTATCAAACATCTAAGCTTGTAGTTTACTGAGAAAAGTAGTGTTCAGCAGCAGTATTATCTCAAGCTGTTACTAATGTAAACATTAAAAGTGTTGTATGCAAATATGTTCAGAAATACTCACAAATATTCAGTCCTAAAACAATCGTTGCCACTGTGGACTTTCTTTTTAAATGTGTTCTCAGAAGGGAATTAAGTATTTCTTGGTCTAAGAATGAATAACACTTGAAAATTAAGGCAAGTTTTAAATTAAAAAAAAATTCGGGTTACTTTCCCGAACTAATTGTATAAGCTCTATTAGCAGCAAACTATATTAGCTATATATGGAGCCAGCTATGTAAAACCTTTAAATGGAAGGACACTTACTACCTCAGGTGCTATAAGTACAAACTACTTAGCTTTAAGTAGAAGAGGAGCTTGTATTCTAATTTGAATGTTTTCTTGTCTTTTTAATGGCTTGTGTTCTTGTTCTAGGTTTTTCCACTTGATTATATTCTTATTACAACTATTGTTATGTACTTTATCTTCACTTCAATGGCAGGGATACGAAATATGGGTATATGGTTCTTCTGGATACGGGTAAATATGACTTAAGAGTTTAGTTTATAATAATAAGATGCTTAGCAAATATGTGATATTGAATATATTTAATAAATAGTGATTGTTTGGGTACTGCTTCATAAACATGTTGCAAGTCTGGCTAGTGAGTTAGAAGCCTGTTGTACAATTTTCACTGTGTTTGAAAGATGTTCTGTTTTGCTAAGTCACCAGACCAAAACTCATGTTTTAGTTTAAGCAATGCAGTCAGCTGACTCTTTCAAGTGTTTAATTAGTGACACTTTGGCTTCTGACTTTTCTAAGTTAAAGCCATATGATTCTGATACACTGGAAGTAGTAATGAATTTTATGACCAGAATCTGAAATTTGCTTACAGTCAGTAGTGCTTGACTTGCTTTTTGATGACAAGCAAGTTTATGTAGCTTGATAGATAAAACAGTACAGTGATGATATGACATATCTAAATATGATGCAAATAATATATTACCGTATTTGAAAAACAGCCTTTGTAGCCAATAGTGTGCCATTCATGCCTATGATGCTTGGTTAAATATTCCCCTGCTTCTGTGCCTAGTTTCCCTTTAATACTATCACCCTTTCCTGTGGTGACACCTCAAAGCTATAAACAGTGACCCTGAGTCCTTGCAATGAGTTGCAAGATTGACTGTTGGTTTTGATGTTCTAACATTTACACCTCATGTGCCAGCTTCTTTACCTTAATGTGATACTCCATCTGACCCTTTGGGGATTATAGAATAGTGTGGTATCTACAGGGTAGCAGCAAGGGATTATGTGGTTCCCTGCAGAGCGGAGTGGAAAAGACACCACCATTTGGTGTGCAGTTTTCTCATGGGAATTCTCTCTCATAACTCCATCCTCAGTTTCTAGATCTGATTAGAGGTGGAGTGATAGATGATACCTCACGTTGACCAGAGGACACAATATTCTTTGACAAACCAAGGCACAGTTTATCAGTGATAAGCAACACCATTTTAATCTTGCTACTTACTGCTAGTTTATGAATCGTTCTGGGTCGTTAATACAAACAATTAATTTGGTGCAATAGCTGTGCCTTGAAATTCAGATAAATACACCTGAAAACCTAGTTTGGCTCACTGGAATTAAATTGCCAGAGGATAATTTTAGCAGCCTCCCACTTCCGTCAGTAGAATTAAAGCCGTTAAAGAGGATTTTAAATGTCTTCAGGAAAAAAAAAAGTATCATTATTCTGGTATTTTTGTTTTCTGTTTTAGCTTTATAAAATCAGACGAGGAAAAACTCGACCTCAAGCACTCTTGTTCCTCTGTATGATACTTCTGTTGATAGTTCTTCATACAAGTTACATGATCTACAGTCTTGCTCCTCAGTATGTAATGTATGGAAGCCAAAAATACCTGGTACAGGTGAGATATAATACTTTTTACATTTTTATAAAAGTATTTTTTTATAAAATAATCTTACCTTCTGTGTGAAAAATGTGATGTTTGCAGTGACTTTTAAAGCTAGGCCCATTCTCAATTTTGAAGACTGTTTTGTAGCCAGGTTTTTTAACTGCTAGTAGGTCTCTTCATACACAAGCCGTCTTCAGACAGTGTAAAACTTTGAATGTTGCATTACTTCTTTTGAGAAGACAACTGCTAGCTTCCAGTAGATTCTATACTGGTACACTTAGATTGCTAAGTGACTGCAGTGAGGATTTGTTTTGGTGTGTAAGGCTGTCTGTAGACTGAAAGCAATGTTGCCATTCTATGGTTGATAGTTTTTATGTGTGTATTTGTAAGAAATGACCAAGATAACTTGGTATAGTAGAGGATAATAATCAGAACAAAGCTGAGTATGTGCTGATTAATCACATTTCAGACACTTTGTACTGCCCAACTTCATGAAACTCATTGCAGTTTTTGTTCTATGAAATCTTCTACCAACTTAAGTAGTTAGCATTAGTCTCTACTTTTGTTACTGTGCTTTTGTGTACTTCAGTCTTCTGTACCTGAAGGCTTTAATTCTTCTATTTCATCTTGATTTGAGTGGAGACCTGTGTATTTATAAGGAAGTTCGAAGTTACACATCATAAGCATTTTGAAGGGTTTTATGGACAGCTGTTTACCAAGATCTGGTGTACTACAGGGGGAGGCTTTGTTAGATCTGATCTTGCAAATGTAAACACCTAACGGAGTCATAAACTGATTACTCATATTCAGGCACAACGAAGTCCCACACTGCTCAAAACAAGAAAAACCACAACCCAAAACCAAACAAACTGAAAAAAAAAAAAACACCAAACTGATCGTGTTGGCCTTCAAGCTGAAAAAAAATTTAGTAAAACGTGTAACTTGTCACTATCAATTCTTTCAGTTTAAACAGAGTAGATGCTGAATACTTAGAGCAAAAGGATTACAAGGAGAAATTGAAATTGAAGTAGTGTTAAACATGCTAGAGAACAGGAACCTGATCAACTTAAATGTGCTGAGTGGATGTGGTAGAATTGTCACTGCAGAAAGTGAAACATTCAATAAACGCTACTTCTACTGCCTTTACATCTGAATTATGTCTGGTAACAGGAGGTTGGTCATCCTCATATCAATACAAGCACAACTTGAATATTTGGTATTTAGGAAGCTCAATGCATTTTTATTAGATTTTATGCTAGATACAACTAATACAAAATAAACATGCTGAGGTATCTACAAATTGGCTCAACTTGTCAGAATTAGGGTAGTAGCAGCAATAAACTAAGCTGAAAATCCGTTTAGGAAAGTGGTTTGCTTCTGTGGTGAGTTTACATAGAACTCCTGGCATGATTGCTCATTGTGTATGCAGCCTAGAACAACATATAGCTGTATCTGAATTAGTTATGAGCTCAAGTCCCTGCAAAATGCAGGATGTCTGGGATTTTTTATATTGTAGGCTGACTATATGTCTCTAATTACAGTGCAGAACTGTTGTGGGTGGAAGGGTGGGAAGGACAATTTCATTAAGGATTCTACCAAGCTAGTTTTTAAGCCTTTCATGACCTGAGAAAAGAATCTTTCATGAGAAAGCTTGCAGATAATATGGAAGATTGAAGAGAAGAGTAAATAAGACTGTAGCTAGCAATTTGTTTTGCTTTATGAATAAAATGACAATGTTTCAGTAAAACAAAACGTGTGTATATTGAGGAGGGCAGAAGGATTGGAACTTAAATACTTGCATGTTAACTGTTTATTATGACAAGTAGTACCTGGACATAGATAAATAGTTTGTAATGAAAAGAATTAAGAGAATGGAGCATAGCAGTAGGGAGGCTCTTGTGTTATTCAAACAGCTGTTGAAATACAGTCGTGGTCAGCACTGCAAGAAGGATTAGCTGGAATGGTTGAGTAGAGTTACAACTTTTCATTTAAAGGATTAAAAATATCTTATGGCAAGATAGCTAAAGACCCAGGATGGCTTCTTATGTCCCATTTCAAAGAGCTGTGTTTGAAGTGCATAAAGTGACTTGGGTATAAACTGGTTTTATTGTTTAAAAAAACATGAAGCATAGAGAGTATGCTAGTAAATTACATCTGAATTTCTCTGACATACCAAGTAAATACAAGGTTTTCAGACATCTTCTCAAAGAATCTTTCAGAATGTCCCAGACAGACACATTTTCTGTGTCTGACTATCCAGATAACTATATGTTAAGTTTTTATATTTCAATATGAGGAGGAATGGTGACTGGGAATGAAGAGGAGCGACAGATTTTTTCTGTGGATGTTAGTAATGAAGAGATTCTTAAGAGTTACAAATTGGTTATTATGGAACTGAGGAGTGGCCAGGAACTGAGCAAGTAAAACACATTTTGTGCATATGGCAAGCTTCCTGATAGTGGAAGCTGTATACACCAGTTTGCTTAGACAGTCTAGATTTTCATTGATCACACATACCACAGTCAATTTTGTCATTTAAAGTAACACCACTGGTAACCAACACCATAGAACCAAGTAATAAATAAGCGGTATTCCAAGTCAGCTTGGTGGATGAGTGGGCTGATAAACATGTATGTCAATCTGGTGACTCAGAGAAAGACAGTGTGTAAAAGGAGCACTTCCCCCTTTTCTTTGCTCTACAGTAATTCCCAATCTAGTAACCTGTCAAACTAATTTGTAACCAAAATCTATAGCGATGCATTAGACAGGTTAGAATCTTGAACTGTTTCCTTTGGAGACTGTTACTCTTGACAAGACCTTTTAAGTTTGAAGTGCTGTTGACTTTTCCAGATAATTGAATATGTGTAGAAAAATGGAGCTCTAGTGAGGCAATTAATGTTAGCTAGACCTGGGCTACTTGCTTTATTTAACTGTTTGACCATTGGGGTGTTCAAAGTATGTGTCCTCAGTTAATCAAAAGTTTCTTCAGCTATGATGTCTCTAGGAAATTTTCGAAAGTTTTTTAGATACAGTGACCTTACCAACTGTGGCCCTGTGTAGGGCTTTGGTCAACTTGCATAGCTCTTCAAACTGAGGAATGCTTGGTTTCATTTCTTAGGACAACCTTTGTAACATCTGCTAAACAGCCATGGATCTCTTTATAATCTTTCACAAAAGTAAAGTTCTGTTCACATCCAGGCCTTCTTCTCAACTTTGTAGAAAAACATGACTTGTCCATACTTGAAGTGTAATTGCTATTACTTTTCAACAAGGTTGAGGTTTTTTTCCATTTGTCTGAAAGAAAGACCACTGCTTGCTGATATTTCTACCCAGTGTACCTGTAAGACTCAGCTGGCCAAGACAGGAACTGAGAGGCCAGCACTTGCCTTAGGTGACACTGATACTCTTACCCAGTTGAGGACCAGAGCAGCAGCAGTCAATTCTCTTCTTCAGCCTTCACATAGATAATGTGGAAGAGTGGAGCTAAGCTGTAGGACACCGAGCATCTCTGTTGTCATCAGCAGGACTCCAGAAGTATCCCTTAGATGGCCAAGTATGCAAACACATCTTTAAGTTCTTGATCCTGAACATAAACAGGAACAAAGTGTAACAGGCTGTAATCTAACCCTTTATACGATAGCTTGCTGTTTCCTTAAGTGTCCAAAATGTGTCAGCTCTTGAAGCACACACACTTGAGTTACTGTACTTGGTTTTGTCTCCTGCCTGTCCTTGAGGCATCCTGCTTTCAGCTTTGAACTGAATGTGATAACCGCAACACTAGAGTTTTACTCTGACAATACTCATACTAAAAATGTCTGAGACCTGAGTGCTGTACTGTACTGCTAAGAAAGCTATTTTGAGGAATTGTTCTGTAGACACACCTCTGCTGTCACTTATGCATCTTTTCCACATCCGGTCATTTTCTGTGCCCTGCAGGGCAAAAAAGGCTCTACCTCAAATGGATGCATGCTAATACAAAAATGCTGAGATGACAGCATTAAGAGCAAAGCTCTCTTAGCTCTTCTGGGAAATCAGCACAACTTGAGTGCCTCTAAAGTGCCTGAATACTAATGCACTCAGCAGGGGAAACAAAGGAAGAGTTAGAAGTTTGCACGCAGTTGCAGGTCTGCAGTCTCATGGGGATCAAATGTGGTGAAATGGCTCACACAGCTGGAGTGCTGCCATGGCTCCGTGTGGCCTCCAAGAGTGCCAGGCTGGGATGGCCAAAAGGGAGAGTTGACCTTTATGTGAGAGAGCAGTGGGAATGCATGAAGCTTTGCCTTGGGATGGATAAACCAGCTGAATGCTTATGGATTAGGATTAGAGGGAAAACTAGCATGAGTGATATTGTCTGCTACAGGCTGCCTAGTTAGGAGGAAGTAGCGGATGATCCTTTAAGACACCTGTAAGTAACTTCGTGTTTACAGTCCCTGGTCCTCGTAGGAGGATGTGGTCTTGGACCTAGTGTTGACAACAAGGAAGAAGTGATCATGGGCAGTCTTGGCTGCAGTGAGCATGAGATGGTGAAAGTTCAGAATCCTGAGAGAGGAGAGAACCAGGCAAATAGTAGGATCACAACCCTGGACTCAGGGAGATGGATTTTGGCCTGTTCAGGGACCTGCTTGGAAGAGTTCTAGCATGTAGAAACCAATTCTCTGCTGCCAAGGTGTGATTTATTGTTTTCTTTAACTTATTTCACTGGATGAAGTCACACTGAACTCTTGCTGAGTCTAACCATAAATATTGTTAGTTTTTAGTAATCCTTTAATATAAGTGAAAACTTCCAATTTATTTCTTTTCTGTGTGAGTTAGCTTTGGGTAAGACTATTTTTGTTTAGTACTTGTGTAGTTTACTTTATGTAGTACCACTTAGATATTAAAGAATCTTAAATTTGAATATTAGATATTCTAGCTACATAAAAATTAAAATGGTGTTCAGCTGAGAGAGTTAATGAGATTACCGTTTTTCTTAGCATGACAAATGTGGTTCTTAATTTTTATTAAGAAGGCCTAATACTATGAAATGCTTTACTTTTGGAATATCCCTGTTCCAGAATGTTTCATTTTTTTAATGTCTGTTTTGTGAAAAGGTAGAAAACTTTCAGTGGACTTTTACAAGGTTTTACCTTGTGTAGGAGAGAAGAGAAGTGCTAGGGAA